AACTGGTGAAGCCTTCTGAAGTCTCACACCTGCTTCCGTCATCCAGGTTCAACTCATACAAAATATTACACCCTACATTTATACAATAGCTACTCAACTGCTGCAGCTGAGGAGTCAAAGAGGAAGGGTTTGGAAGAGAAGCCCGGACTCAAAACAGACAACAAGTATCACTARAACACTGCCTACAGCACCCAAGTTTTATGATTATATAAAACACATATTTTAGCCTAATAATTTCAATATTTCTGTGGAACATGAAAACATGAAGTGATCCTACTCATTTTTAACATCAAAGATTTTTTCCTTTTGTTTCTGTTTCTTTTGTGTGTGAAAAGAGCTTGACAAATCTAGAAATGGCTTGATAAATCTACTAGGCAGTTGATTCAATTGACTGTCACAGAAGAAAAGGTTACAATGTCTTAAGTCTTGTAAGGACAAAAGCTGAGTCACAGTGTGAATTTTGGCTGCACATCCTCACAGAGAGGCACATTTTGAAGGTGATAAAGGGGAGTTCTTCACAGTAGCTCCCAGAGGGGTTGGACATGAATCAAAGCAGCATCAGGGATTCGCACACCCAGGTACAGCAGCCTGTCCAGGTGTATCTGCACACCTGGAACTGCCTAGCATGTCAATGGAGCACGCRGCCAAAACAGGCCATCTTAAGGACCTCGTGTATAGCTGGGGGTAGGTTAGATGTATTTTCTTCACTGTTGATGCCATGCCATACAATGGGAACATCTTATAACATACTACTCCAGTCCCATCTCAGCATCCCAGTATGCTCCATGTCCTGGGATCAGAAACCTGCAGCACAGGCTTCCTGGCTGCCCTGCTGTCAGGGACACTCCAAATACACACAAGAACTGCTTATTTGAAAAAACGCTGTTTACCAAGCACAGATTTGGGGGTTGTCATGGAAATAGGGGAAAAATACAGACAAGGAAACAACTGAAACAAAAGATTGGAGAGTTCTCACACAGATGGTGATTTTTGCTATTTAACTTTTAATGTATTTAATACACTAAGTCCTATTTTGAATTTTAGAATATCTATAAGCATATCGTAAACAGGAGAGCCACTTAATCTAAACAAATAAAAGCCCCAATTTTAGAGTTAGAGAGACAGATAAAATGGTTGAATACGCCAAATAATCGCGTTAGTCTAAGAGGCTCTGTCAAAAGGATTAAGTGGCCTCTGCTTCTCTGATTAGTGAAGAGAACCCATTAGGAAGAGCTCAAGTGTAATTAGAAAGGAAAGACTTTTTTTTTAAAGTTACATCATTTAGAAAATTAAGAAATGCAGAAACAGGCAGCATGAAACATAATTAAATRAGCATATAAGATTGTTCTTAATAGCTTGTGTTGTATAATTTAGAAATAGCAGTAAACCTTGTTGTCACATATTCTGGTATTATGTCTTTTTGATCTCTGGAACTGCTGATAAACTCAGAAAAGGTAGAAGATCTGTTCAGCTAGTTGGCCTTTTTCTTTCCTGCATGTAAATTGAAACAAATCTTTAGGTGCACAAAGACATGGTTTGCTTTATGTTCATGAATGGGCCCATATACTTCAAAGGCAGTATAACTACTTAGGGATTATAAAGTTTAATGCATGTGTCTATCTCAGGCACGTAGACTCCTTTACACAACCATGAATTCCAACAAGGTTTCAAACAGACCATCTGGTTCAATATTCTCACACAGAACCAGGTATAACCTCCTTTAGAGGCCGAKACAAGCCCTAAGACAAGTTAGAGAAGATATCACTGGAAAAATCCACCAAAATCCATGACAGGAGTAAAAACAATTGTGAATTGAATACAATGAAATAATTTAAAGACAATCYCAAATAACTCATGGAAAGGTCACTTCACCCACGTGAAGAACAGGAACTTCAAAGCATATCTCCCTTTCTTTTAAAGGGCTCAGAGGTTTAAWTTAAGTCACATTTCTAGGAATACAGTTTTACAGTTTATAGCTACTGTTCCCAGTTTTATAGATAAAAACATCCACAATCTGTATACTACAGTATAGTACAGATTGCAAGTCTGCAGTCTGCCATCTGTAGACTAAAAGATGGGCCTTGCATTGACAGGAATTCAATTTTAAAACAAAATTGACTAAATTAAAATCATTGTATTGAATGAAATCACAATTCCTAAAATACATATATTATGCCATGTTAAACAGCATTCTATTTATGAAAGCAGGATACATTAGGACACGGCTCCAACTCAGGGTAGGCCTTCTCAGGCTAGCTCAAGTTCCATCCACTAACTGTGACAACACTGAGCTAGCTGCAATCTAATTTATTTTCCTAAAAGTTCACTTAAATAGCCTAGGTTATGTTTCGCTTTTAGTGACTTCATGATTCTTACAGAGTTTATTTTTAATATATGAACAATGACAGGAACAACATCAGAACAGTTTGATTTATATCTTCACAGCGCTGAGCCGATGTGAAYTCAGCATTCCTGAGAGCATAATTCAGCTTGAATTTGCAATAAGTATATAATAACTAAAACAAAGATGCAGMGCTAAAAGCTAGCAGTATATTTATTTTTATGCTTGCCATCATATTGCTAAATCCTTCATTCTTTAAGGTAAGAACACACACAGTAATAAATCATAGATGTAAGACAGGTTAGCTAAGAAAAGCAGCTTCCTATTTTTGCCTTTTTGATTAATCTTAYTGACAACACAGAATATAAAGTTCTGCATACATCTTTTGATTTAAGCTCTGTTACAGAAACATCTCTAACCAAGACGGATCCTGCCAAAGCTATGGCTGACAGCTTCCCATTCTCACTCATGTTACTGTTTCCCCACTCATTACTCTCATCCCTTCCAAACCCAGATGTTAATTGCTTTAGCCTTCAGTTGATTTCCATGAACTCAGGAAGCTTGCATTTTATTAACCAAAGCATGTTCTGTAACTACAGTYTTAACCTTTCTCCATTCTAATTAATGCAACTGTAACACTGTAAATGAGATTTTCATGAGAATTTAGAAATTGATCCAACTCTTACACAGCAGCATTGTTGAAAATCTGCTGCATGGTATTGTCATCATATTGGGGTCTCCTGCTCAGAATTGCAATGCTACCATCTCTTAAGTACTGTATTGCAATTACTGCATTATAATAGTTAACCTGATGTTCTATAGTTACAAAAATTTAATAACAATTCTGGTTTGGGATATAAAAATACTTGCTCTACATCTTCTAAACTTTTGTTTTGCCTCACTCATACAGAGCACTGTAGCAAAGATTACCACATGCAGATACCCATCTATATTGATTTACAACGTGATGAGTRAAATTAAGCAAAACAAATCAAGTTTGGTTTTTCACATTTTCTCAAATGCACACTGTAAATACATGATTTAAAAGATCATCCTTGGTAGATGGGGACCATAAAGCCCTATAGAGTTATAACTTTTTTTTTCTCCTSTCCTGACTACGGAGTATTTAAATAACAAAATTGGATTAGAAGTCAGTACAGATTTACATTGCATTGTTTTAGGTTTGTTACTAGGTCATCAAATTAAGAGAACAATCACTCAAGGGTCTCATTATAACCAGTGATGAAAGACCAGATGAATAAGCTCGAAAACCTATGATTCTGTCTTGGTGTCCCAAATAAATATATGAAGTTAGATTAGACCCAGTAATCCTGCACTGTGGGATGGGGCCTTTTCAGATCCAATGTGTCCCATCCATGTCCTTCAAGGCTGGAGGAAGGGCAGTGAGGCACCTCCCTGTGCTTCTCCCACAGCCCATCCCTGATAAGAAATCCCAAYACACAGCCTAGCAGGAGATGGCAGCAGGTTTTACAGCATATTCCMTTCCAGACCACTCAGCCAAAGGCGCTGGCATTCACTCCAAAGCAGCTCTCTCCAGTCACAAACATTTTTGTTCATCCAGGTACCTAAGAAAACTAAATATCCCACATAGAGCTAAGCAGTATTAAAACAGGATTATGCCCTGGCTTGCTAGGAATATTCCGATGTTAACTAATAACAAAAGCCTAAAGTTATTTAGGTAAAAGAACTTAAAAGTCAGATCAAGGAGTGGCAGCTTCAAGTATAAGTTGTGAGGTATACAGAAGGTATTGTTATTTCTAGCAAAACTGGCAATTACCATGACACTTATTTCTAATTTGTATGAAATGCTTAATTATCAAGTGTATTTTCAAATACTGAAGCCTCCATTCTTCCCTAAGAGGGGAAAACCTTATCTCATTGCTTTATCATCCTTTACAGAGAAATAAGAGAACATATATTTTTCCCCCCATATGCTTATCTCCATCATTGTGCAATTTCACCTGACAATTGGACTAAAACAAATACAATATCAAATTGAGACAAGAACGAAGTCCCAGCACACCTGAAATACAGCAGAAAGGGTAAAGCCACCCGTCCCGGCCAGGCCTGGGGAAGGGAGGAGCAGCTCCCCACAGCCTGCTGAGGCACTGCCCCACACCAGAGCCCCAAAGCCCCTTGGCAGGAGCCCCCCGGCTGCCCCTAAACATGCTCCTCGCCCCAGCGCGGGGCCGCCTGGCAGCTCCGCAGCCTATAAACGAGGCTGCCCCACACCTGGGGCCCTCTCTTCTCCATAGGGAGGGGATGTCGGTGCTAGGAAAAACCCTCTCCAGAGGATGCTGGTGTTGTGTGGCGCTGCTGTGGTTTCTGTTAATTAGGCCAGCCCAGTGGAGTCCAAGCTCTGGGCTTGGGCGTGCTCAGTTTAGTGACTCCCTCTTTTCTGGACACCTCTCCCTCCTGCAGCCCGTGGCCTGCTCTTCATATTCACACTCCTGGTGGTTACTTTGCAACAGGGCTTTGGAGGAGACACAACTTTACGAGTTTCAACACCACGTACCCCTTTTTTTAATGAGCTTGTGAAAACAACCCCCCCGGGTGGCACCTTCCCCACCCCGGAACTATCGGCGCGTCGCCCGCGCCGCTGCACGGGCCCCTTTCGCGGCGGCACCGGGGCCGGCGCGGCGGCGACGTGCGGGGCGCTGCGCTCGCCATGGTGCGTGCGGGGCGGCGGGCCGGGGGGCGGCGAGGGCGCCCCGCGCGGCTCCCCTCCCCTCCCTTCGCCTTCTCCCCCTTCCTCTCCCTTCCTCCCTCCGCGTCCCCGGGGAGCGGCCGCGGGAGCCGCCTGGAAGGCGGCCGTTAGGGCCGTTAGCGGCGCGAGGCCTGCGCCTCAGTGAACGGCCGCTGGCCTCCGCGTGGTGTCGTGTGCTGCCCGCCCCGCTCTCCTGCGGGCTTTAACGGGACGTGCCGCGCCGGCATAAATACGGAATGCAGATCTGCTGCATCCTGAGYGCCGCGTGCGTGCGCAGCCACGGCCTTGCGGGGCCCCTTGTAGCAGGCCTCGTGCCGCGTGCTTTCTGGCCAGGCCTTTCAGTTTTCCAACGTTTTAAACATTCAGACTGCCCCCCCCACCACCACCACCACCAAAATCTAACACAGCTCAAACTGGCATTAAAGTGTGGTTCAGATTCCACAAGTTACTGCTCCCTCCCCGTGCCATGTGAACAGCTAGAGAAGAAACCGCTGGTTATTTCCTGGTGTGAGGGATGCTGTGGGTCATGGGGAGGATGGAGGATGGCGGTGGGGGACACGAGACATGCTGTAGAAATTAAATATGACCTTTGTGAGAAATCCCTGTGCAAATTGAGGACATCTACTGCAAAGTGATTAGAAGAGATAAATCTCTRTATGAGGTTACCCAGCCACACAGGCTTGCAGGAGCTCTGAGAGTTGTTGCYACGTAATTTTTTGAACAGCCCTAACTGTTTTCTGATGATTTTGCTACTATGTGGACTGTATTTAAGTAATTTTGACAGTCCTTGTTGCTTCTTGACGTAGTGGGGAGGGCAAGATAGAAGTGGTGGAGCTCATATGCTGCTACTATAAGTCAAGCGCTTTCTGCAACACTGATTAAGCTTTTAAGTGTTTTTGATGGTGCTTGTGCCTAGCTTTCTTTTAGCATGTTTTGCTTAGCTTTGGTGACTTACAACAGTTTTTATTTCTTTCAGCCAAAATTACTAAAAAGCAAAGGGGGAAAGCAAGAGAAAAAAGTTATCCATCCTTACAGCAGAAAAGCCGCGCAGCTTGCCAGGGAAGCACACAAACAAGAAAAGAAAGAAAAGTGAGTTGACTGATGCTTTGCAGATCATACAGCGTCTTGTTGTTGTTGCTGGGATGGTATAGGTTATGGTTATGCTGATAAACCTTAAAATAAGAACAACAAATTAAAATAAGAACAACAAATAGCGGCTAGACCATGTGATCTGACAGGCTTACACTTGTGATATCAGTTCGAACATGGTATGTAGTTCTGCTAGTTGATCTTGGGGTAATCCTTGCAAGTTAGGTTTCATATTAGAGCATTTTGCTTTTTATAATCCGAATGTTGAATACTGTTGTTTTAATGTCACTTACTGCCTAACATTGCCATAAATATTTTGCTCTGCAAGGGAGGACAGTGGGGTGGATCTAAACTTCTCAGATGCTGATAAGTCTCCTGGAAATTTTTAGTGTGCATGAGAGTCTTGCAAGAAACCCCCTACTAAAAGAGAGGGGTTGACTTAGTCATCTAGTTTGACTTTACTCCAAGATTTGCCAAGAATCCTGCTGAGGTTGTAGCTGCTTGTGCTGAGATCAAACAAATGAAAACCTGAAAAGCCTCATTTGGAGCTCTTCCTAAAGAAGAGAGATTTCTGATTGGAAACAGAATAATTAACACTGCTTTGGTGATTTCTGATTTCTTACTGTTCCAAGGCAAATTTAGTTTTCTGCTTTAAGTTTTTTTTTCTCCCTCTCACAGCTAATTTCTGTCCAGCGCTAAACTTGCTTGGGGACACAGCTGCAGAACACTCATCATTGATTTCTTTTCTTTCTCAACACACGTACTTTTTCTCTAGTATAGATACTAAACCAGTTTTGAAAGTCAGTATATATGTGCTTAGAAAACTCCCGAATTATCTTTCTAAAGTAGCTTTGAAGCATTTTTTTTATGAAAGTACACTAGTACATGGCTGGARTATGTGAACTGAACCAAAATCTTCATACATATGCAGATGTTACATTGAAAAGTTGCTGTTGCTGAAAGCCAAAAAATACCAGTAGTTCCTTAGAGTTCCTTCCAGCTGGCATGGTTGGAGCTGAATGTTCAACTTTATGCAGAGAAAGGCTGCTCTTGGAGGACAGGAACCCTTTAGTTGCCCTTTCAGGAGAGAGACCCTTTAGTAACACAGCAGTGTCATGTCAGTAGCCTCAGCAGAGTTACTACAAGAGTTTATAAGCAGTCTGTGCTGCTGACTAGACAGTCTCTGCAGGTGCAAGAAGTTTTCCCTGCTGCTTCGTATTTTGCCTSGGTCTCTGACTCTTAGGTGTCACCAAGATTTTTTTTTTCTGGTGCTAAATTGACAACTTTGATCACTTAACTCTCTTTTCCTGCCTCATAAGTGCCGCTCAGAAGGCTTAGTCACAAAAAGAAAATTGACTCATACTTGATGCTTAGTCCTTACATCTGCCACTTCACCATGAAAAAAACAAGTATAGGATAGGTTATTGTGTGAAGGAGTGGGGTATTGATTACTCCTTATGACTTGGCCCGCTTAATGACATCTTCTAATACTTCTCCATGTGGGTAGAGTTACAGTGATATAGGCACCTGTATTGACATGTTCTTGGTGAGAGGGTGCTATCTTTGGTTCTTCTTGTAAGAACTGAAACCAAAGTACTCCCACTTGAGTAATTCTCTGCCATTTAACCTACCCTTTGTTTCCTCTTAGAGAAGGCTTTAAAGCATTTATCATAGGTTGCATAGGCCAGTCTGTTTTGTTCCAAATAGAATACCAAATGCATCACTCCTCTCATAATGCATTAATATTGCAGTAGTAAGGTCCTCCTTTCAGGAGAAGAAGCAGCCCGGACCAATCTGGTTTCCCTTTACAGATCTCTTAGACCTTTCAGGAAATAGCAGCTTGATAATATGAAGTCTTTTGGTGCACGGTCTCTTCTAAATCTGAGACTAATTATAATTGTTTACAAAGACACTTTTTTGATGGACAATRACTTCTCAAAGTTGAAATTTTGCAGAAATGTTCTTCCAAATTCCTCCTGTGTCTAATGACAAACCTGCTCTTTGACCATATGGTTGGTGCATTCTGGTTGGTCAAGAGACGCTCCCTCATCATTTCTGCAGTATTTCCTTCCTGGTTCATGAGCAGGTCTGACACCTTTTCGACCATGCTTTGTACATCATGGAAATAATACTTCTTGAATGCTGGGAGAGGCCCAAAGCTGGAGGCAGTATTCCCATTTTGTGATCTCACCAACACAGAGTATTAGGAATAATTTCTCCATAGAGACCCTTTTGTGGCATGAAGGAGTCCATTCTTCATTTTTTTCCTTCTGAAATAGGGGTTGTGGTCATCAAATGAATCTAGGAAACTAATTTAATTCAGCTGAGAAATTAATTGACCAAAGATGCTGGGATCTTATTCCTGCACAGGCTGGACTAACCACTTCTGGAAGGCGTACATATTTTACTTGTTGATGATTATTCAATAGAAAGACACCACGTGGGTGTAGGAAGCCCTTGAGCAGCTTTAGAAAGCGTCTTTTGCAGAAATACCAGGAACTGTTTGTTCTTTATATGTTTTTCTTAGTACTTGCTAAATACACTGTTCTTGCCTATTTACAGTTTAGGCTTGGACAAGCTTYTCATGCTTTTTGTTTGGAGGAGAAAAAGAAATCACTGCACAGAAAATGCTTGTATATGTTAAAAACAAGAAATTATACTAGCCATAAAATATTTAGAAGTGTCTCCCCCTTCACCTGAAAGTCGGTAAGAAAAAAGGGGGGAAAATCCCTCAAGGAATTTCAATACTTAATGCAAYGCTGGGAGAAAGGAAGGAGAAATTCTGCTGTAAGTTGCTGAAGTCTTTGATAGCCTCATCACTCCYCAGTGCAGGTTTGCTGTCTGAAATATGACAGTAATAAGAAGCTTATTGCCCAGAAAGACAATATTAAGAGCTGACAGAGCAATTGATCTGGGAAAGCTGGCTGTGCCTTCACTTGAAGCACACTTTCTTGCCTATATCACTCTTCTCAGTTCTCCTCAGTGTTTGATCAGCACTCAAATACTGATCATATGTCATCGTCAAGATACTTTTTCTTAATCTACTTGTGAACCTTCGTTCACTTGGGCAAATAGTTTGTTCTGTTAAATAATAATAACAAAGATATTTGTATGAGACCAGGGTACTTTTTCATCGGTGCTAGTGGGACGTTGCTTTGTTTTTGCTTTAGGGCAGTGTTCCTGCAACCTCTGCTAGCAGCAATTTATCAACACTGGTCGTGTTCTGACTAACTGTTAAAATCTCTCTCTTTTTGGTAGTTAAAGCCTATTCATTGCAGAATTTTTGTCTTTATTTTTTCCTTCTCTACTGAGACAGAATATGACCTTCCTATTGCACATATATTATAAATTATTCAGGAGTTTGTGCGCTTTCATTTTTAAATATATCAGTCTAATATTATCATGCTCTGATATAGGAAGGCTAAGAGGTTTTTAGATTTTCTTGATATAGTCTGAAATGACCCCTTAGGAGTAAGTGGAAGCCTTTGAATGTCTCCTTGTGGTGCTGTTTATYTTTTATTATTATTTGTTTTTCCCTAGCTTCTTTTTTTTTTGCTTTTTCTCTTGCCTGACCCCTTAATCTCCCTTGAATGGTTATGCTCCTAGTGGTGCCGTTTGCAGCCATGATACGTTGAGATTTATTCTTGCATATTGTTAGGTGGAACCGGAAAAAAGAAATTTCTCTTCAAAAAGCCTGAAAGTGGCCTGAATTGTGATGAACTGGGCGGCTTTTTTGGCTGGCCGCCGCATGTTCTGCGTGGTGATGCTCTGCAGCCGGGCGCCCCTYGCAGTGCTGCCCTGCAGGGCACGCAGCAAGGGCTGCTGCCCGTGAGTGGGCAAAGGGAACCCTTCATTCCGTCGCTGTCACTCTTCTGGAGTCTGCTCTGAGCTGTAAGCCCTCTGTCATCTTCCAAACACAGTTTAGGCTGGGACCTTTTCTACCACAGAGATACAAACTTGGCTTYTGATCTTTCTCTTGTTTAAGTAGTCTAATCCCAGTTCCATCTGACACAAAGCCAGCTTGGTAACCCACACAAACTGATTTGCTTCTTCATAAACTCTAAAATCTTTTGATTAATTTATAGACTTTTTTTGTATATGTGATATAACCCTGTAGCGCAAACCCYGTAGTGCAACCTCAGAACATTTTGCATTAAAGCATTTATTGCAGGTGAGGTATCTAGAAGTAAAAAGACTTAGTCATAAATGTATTTAAGTGAGCAGAACTCCTGCTCAGCAGCATACGTGTGCTAAGCATTTGCTCCTTTATTTTGTATACTTGCATATTTTGAGTCCTTCAGCCAGCTTTTGGACTATCTGCACAGGGAGAAATTCTTGTTCTAAAAGCTAATCCTCTTAGCAGTAATAAACCGACCTGTTTGTGTTTTGGCATGTTTGTTTATAGAGTCTAAGCTCTGTTGAGCTGAATTTTTACAACAGGTGACAGATCTCTGTGCTACCTTTGAGCTACTTCAGTTAAATGCAAAATACTGCTTAACTGCTGGTTTTATTCTACAGGGAATAAAAGGATTGTAATGAAGGAGGACATTGGTTTTCAGCTGTGTTGAGTTTTTCATAAAACAGTAAATAATTGTTAGTAAAGAATAGAAAACTCCTTAAAATTACTACAAGTATTTGGATATATTTACTTAATCAGGCAYAACTAACGCATTTTTTCCAGTGGCAACTGATCCACTTCCCCCAATAATGTATTATTTTATCCCTGCTTTCTTGAAATTACATGATGGTCAGCAACTTTCATTGCTGCCAGCTGAATCTAAGAGCTCAGGGACTAAATGCGTGAGTCCCTGTATTCATTTCGTTCTCGGAGAACCTCTCAATAGGGCAGTTAATCCCAAACTGAATAGAGTACTTCCATGTCCTAGAATTCAAAATGCTTTAGTATCCTACCTGCAGATTGTGATGGAATGAAAAAAAATACATAGCTGGATTTTCTTTATCTTTTTTGTATAGCTATTAATTTTGCTATCCTAGCACATTAACTTTGGATATCCACTCATCGCTGACTTCAATTATTAAAAGATTATTAATTATTAGTATGATATTTCCACAATGCATGCCGCRTTTGCAAGGATGCAAAGGGCTTTAGTAGTTTTTTTATTCTTTAAGCAAACTCACCAAATATACCAGCACAATATTAGAAGTACTTACTGAAAAGAATTTCTTCATTACAATGCAGGTCTTGCATGAAAACTCCTCTTGCTGTTTTCTAAGAAGTGTTATAGCCTATTCTCATCCTGATCTTATATTTAATGTCTTACAAGAAAGCATTTAAATCAGTAAGTAAATGGGACAAAATTTCAGATGGTAGTTTTAACAAAAAGAAAAAATCTTTGTATGATTTAGAATAAGATATACAGTTCAACAAATATTTGTATATCTTGACTTTTATTTTGGATTCGGATTTTTTTTTGAAAAAGAAAATAAAGATAATTATTTGCACAGCACTAATTCTTGATTATTTTGTTTTGTCTTTGCTAGGTTGAAGACTGAAAAAGCTGTACGCTTAAATATCATTGGTGAGTGGGGACTTCAGTTACTGAGTACAGTACTTTTTAACACAGAATATAAATTTCACCAACTTGATAGATACTCCAGTTATAATTCAGAGGCGTTTTTCTATTGTCTGTTTCCATAATCTTAATGTAGATTTTGCATAAGTGTTAAGCTACTTGACATATTTACTTAGGCAGGGTTGAGCTTGGAGCTCAGAGTATAGCCTCATTTTTGGCAGCGTATGTGACTCCTGGGCAWTATAAACAGAACATCTGTCATCTTAAAAAGCTTGTCCAAAGTGGACACCAGTGCTGTTTTAGACACTAACTTCCAGTAGTTTAAAGGAAAAGGTAACATTTTTTTTTAAATAAAGGAAAACATAAAATGCATCTGAAATTACACCCTTTAAAAGGTTTCTGTTACAGCTACCTTTAAATTTTATGCACAACTTGTAATTGAGCCAAATTTCTATAATGCTATTCAAAAATCTTGAGAAATGGGGCTTTATTTCAAAAACTTTGAAAAMCTTTAATATGTTCTAGAGTGATAATATACTCATTAATGTTCTCTTTATTCTTGTAGGAGAAAAATTACAATGGTTTCAAAGTCACCTTGACCCCAGTAAGACTGAATACACAAAGAAGGATGTTGGTGAACTGATTGAGAAGTAAGACGTGGTTAAAAATGGGATAAAAAGCTTGTTTTGTCTTTAAAAAATAGTATTCTTAAGTAAGGTATCTGAAACAATAGTGAATCGGAGTGGTTGTATTGCACAAAATTTGTGTGACTTTCTGGCATAAATGTATTTCATTTCTTTCAGTTATATAGGTCGATTTAATGATGAGTTGGAGCAGATTGAGTTGCAAAACAGCATTAAAGGTAGACAAGGAAGACAACATGGTTCTCGGGAAACAGTCATCAGGCAGACCATGGAACGGGAAAGGCGGCTCTATGAAGGCTAYGGAATAGGTATGGAAAGATTATTAGAAATAATCCAGCAGGGACAATGGTGCCTCTTGTTCACAAGTCAATAACCYAAGTAATATTTCCAGGTATTATTTCTATTTTTTTTCTCCTCAGAAGAAACTGATGGGAATTCTTGGATTGAGTCAGAGAGGAATYGGGGGAGGGAAAGAAAGATGGAWGCTGAATTTCTCACCCACGYGTTTCTGCTTTGCTTTCTGTCAGTTCTGCATCGTTGCTTGTATTGTTTCTTTAGCAGGTAACTATACATTTTTTGAAACTGAAGTGAGGTTTGACAAACAAGAGTTGCATTGTGTTGTATTCCTCCTCCTTGCCAAGTAGATTTTKKKGG